CTGCAAGGCATGCTACATCATGTCACGGCGCTTGCCTTATAACTACACCACCACTCCTGCAGATCATGTCGATGAGCGGTACTTCATACTTTGGAGCATCACCCGAGTGGCGAATTGATCAAGCTTTGTGTTGTGACTCCCTTCCTTGAAGCCGTACATACATGCAGACATGCCCATATACACGCCAACCACAATCACACATACATAGACACCACGGACAGGTAGACGCAAACGTACACAGACAAGTCTACGTATACATACACGTATAGGTCAGATGATCGGATACGGAGATGCAACCGCATGCGTCGGGTGTCCGCCATGACGACTTCTGCTGTACCTCTCTTTTCTCATGTACTTCTATTCGAGTGTGGGTCCGCAATGGCCCCTCGAGGCTGATGCCATCCGACCTGCAGGCGGGCAGGCCTGCTCCTGCAGTGAGTGAGGGCCTTGAAAACCAGACTTCGGAAGTGCGGGTTCGGAAGTGCCCTCGTGCAAGTGCTTCATGCAAGCATGAACCAGATGTCTTCATGCTATGCACGGCAATGGTCTTGTGAGGTCTGGTTGACTAGCCTGCAATGAGACAATGGATCCAATTCTTCACACGTCCCTACTTGCCGCAAAGCTCAAGTAACCGGATCGACTTGCACAGCCATGGTCAAGCGACGCAGAGTAGGAGTCCAGCCTGCACGAGGTCCGAAGCGTGGAACCGGAAGCCGGGTTAAAATCATCTGTGCCTTCACAGGATGTACACGGACGAATGTTTGCTGCAAGAACAAAGGCATCACAGCGAGTTATGCAGCAGTGGACTCGTCTAAGACACGGAAGCTGCATGCCACAGCGCAGCTGGTGCGGTTCTGCTGCCCGGAACATCGTCAAAAATGCTTACTCAAGGACAAACAACGACGGGGAGGTCGCGAGGCGCTAGATGCGCAGCAGATCGTCCACCTGTTCAGAATCTTGGCCTGGCAACGCCCATGGGCTGCTGTGCTTTTTTTGTTAAGCATCATGTGTGGGGAGAGAGCAGAAGCTACATCGGTTGCCTGTGCCTCCTGGCTACGAATCACGGAAAGTGATCAAAGACCCAGCCTGCAAGTGCCCCGCGTCAACAAGAAGACGACGGCTCATGAAGTTCCACTTCACCTGGACTTTGCTGCGCTGCTCCGGAGGTGGATACTCGAGGAGCCATTACAAGGGGCCGACAACCAACAGTGGCCATTCCGTGGCCAGACAATCAATCTATCAACCAAGCGGAGACGAGTCAGCAAAAGCTACTAGCACAGAGTTTCAGGTATGAGTGCTAAGCTGGACATGCAGCCGCCATCTAAGCTACCCTGAAAGCCACTTGCCCCTTCAACTCGAGATAGGTGAGCAAACCCATGCGCTGATCCAAGGCTCAGACGTGTCAGCCTTCGAGTGGCAGTACCTGTTTCCTGGCAAGAAGGTTGGCGGTAATTCTCGTCGTAACTTCGCGAAAGCAGTTACAACTCGGGCTTATCACTACGTTCTGGTGGACGCGCAGCAGGCAATAGCAAGAGAACTTGCCTGCGCTCGCAGACAAGGACAGCTCCATCCGTTCCAGGACGTGAACCTGCAGCGTGTGACGTCGCACAGCGGTAAGAAATCATGTGCCACTCTCCTCAGCGAGTGTGCTACGGCCACAGTGATTGGGCAAATCACGGCAACATCGCCGAGAATCATAGAAAAGGTTTATGTGTGTCCTCGCCGAGATCTACAACGAGAAGCTGTGCAGAAGGCATTCTCACCGGTGGTTGCAGGTGTGGCTTCCCAGAATCCCACGCCTGCGGCCGCAGAAGGTCCCTCCACGGAGGGGCTGGTTTGCTGCACCGCCTGCGGAAAGTTTCAAAAATTTCTGGATTGGAAGTTTTGCCCCTGTGGCACGAAGTACGTTACGGATTTCTAGCTGAACAAGGCTAGGCTAGCTTGCGCACAACCTGTCACATGACGGAGTCATGCTGGCAGTTTCACTGGGACCGAGAACGAATGACTGAGGAAAGAATGCGACCCATGTATTTACACAGCAGCACCACACACAGACACCGGACAGACCTCAGAGAGAGGCAAAACGAGAGAGAGGGAGGGAGGGAGAGGGAGAGAGAGAGAGAGAGAGAGAGAGAGAGAGAGAGAGAGAGAGAGAGAAAGAAAGAAAGAGTTCGCGAGAGAGACAGAGAGACGAGAGACAGATCAAGTGCGCGCGTGTGCACCTGCACTTTCTGAACCATGTAGCCCCCGTTCCCCTGCGGACCCCGCATCCCGTAACAATCCCACTGAACTTTGGATGCGCAATGGAATCGAAGCTTGAAACTCCAAGCACAAGCTCCCTTGCAGGATATCCAATTTTTTGCGGACCCGTTCTCGCATGGCTATTCCAAGAGTACATCTACGTGCGTACGAGGGTGAAAGCCGTCTCCAGCTCTTCACAGCTTGACCGCACCAACTTCAGTTTATACTAACCTACATTACAGTGCATGTGTGGATGAATTGCCACTTGCCCGAAGCTCTTAATTACGAAAGCTCGCACAAAGCCACGCTGTCACGGAACGGTCACTTGCCGTTGGCTTCCAAAATCCCCGCCAGCACTAAACGGAGCAGATCTGCTGGAACAGAATTCCCGGCAGCTTGCCCCAGTGCGCGCGCGGACAAAATGTCGCGCGGAACGTACGCAGGATCCACGCCCATGAGCTTGAACAGTTCATCCAGTGTCATAGTGCGTCCCAGCCAGGTCAACCACGCACCCGCTGGTCTTGAGCGCAAGAGGCAGGGAACTCGTCCTTTCATGACGTTCGGAGCACGCTTTAGGCTGCTGAAAATGTCAGCGAACCAGTGCTCCGTTGATGGATCACCTCCCATCGCTCGAATCCGCGCATGTGCTTTCCTCAGCTGTGTCTGCTGACCCCTAGCTTGTGGTAGGCGTTGGCAGTCATCGCCAGGCAGGGGCCGGATGAAGTCGTGGATCGGACGGGTGGCATTGACCTGGCAGGTTCGAAAGCTAAAGGAAGAACTCCTGTCAAGACAGCGGTTCATGGACATATCACGTTCATGGAAACCATGGCCTCTGGTGGCCAGCTCATCGGACGCTGCATAGCCGAGGTCAGGCAACCGGTCACAAACAAGCGCTCTCGATGCTGGGGCAAGGTGGTGACCCTGCATGTGTCCAAGACCTTCCAACTCACAGAGTACCTTGGATTGGTAGCAAGTAGTGGTGCGCCTCTAGAGATTCTTGCTCACGGCTCACGACTCACGCAAGATGCAGTACAGCAGCAGCTTCCGGCCCCTCTCATCCGTCATGCCGTCCAGGACTCCCAAAAGCATGGCAAAGGTTTCGGGGTAGAGCGTCAACAAGCCGCGGACATTCTCGAGGCAAAACATTGGGGGTCGTCTGTGCCTGATGTAACGGAGGATGGGGAAGATGCACGATCCACTGATGTGTGTCAAGCCTGCTGTTCCCGCTGGCTGGCATTCGCTAAAACCCTGGCAAGGAAAGCCAGCGAAGAACAGGTCGCAGCTCACTGCCATCCAGTCTTCCAGAAAAACATCGCAAAAGACATAGTCGTGAGTGTGCATGCTCATGGAAAGCTTGCGCAGGCCAGCATTGCTCTCGCAGCAGAAAGTTGCTCGGAAGCGCCGCCCCATACCATTCAGGCTCCATAGCTCGGCGCACAAGCCAGAGCACACCGAGCCGACCAAAATGGTGTCCTCGCAAGGGCGTATCTCGTCCGCAGCCTCAGGCAATGGGTGCTTGTCAATGTGGCCCAAGACGCTTTCGGCAGTAGGCACATGCTTCATGATTCGCTGTCGTGGGGTCTTCTGCAACGCAGGCCGCTTTTGGACCTTGTCGCACTTCTGAACCTTCATGGGGCCACGACGGCGGGCTTTCTTCGCGGGCATCACGTCCTGAACATCATCGTCATCGTCCCAGTCCACATTCAACATGGCATGCGCCGCCACTGAGTCAAGAGCATCCTGCTGCAAGCTGGAGCAAATGCACACGGACAACGGCAAGCATGGACAGTTGCAGCTGCGTGCACGCTCAGCTCCACCTGCACTCGCATCGCAACTGGAACTTGCTTACACGCGGGCGCGTGCAAGAGCTTCACGAATGGACTTTTTTTTCTGGGCGCATTGCCCGGCACGATTTCTTCAAGGCAGCTAGCACGCCAAGGACAGCGGGGCCCCCAGAACTTGGAGCCAACAGCAAAAGAAAGCTTTCTTACTGAGTGTGCATTGAAGGACTCTACTCAACTAGACTCATTCGCTGATGACCCAGGGGATCCAAAACAGTCTGGCGTTGTTTGTCTTGAGACGCGCAGATTCTGTCAAAGCGGCGAAGCTGTGTTTTCGTGGCACCAAACACCTACTTGACGAGTGTGAATACTCTTGCAAAGCTGTCCTCAGGGAGACACGAAAGCAAGAAGCCGCTTCACGCTTCAAAATCATGGCCGTCCAAACTGGCAGCCGTGCTCACCCAGCAAGCTTCTTCAGAAGCTCCGCTCTGGCCGCCTCTGCAGCATTGGCGCCCTTGCTCTTCTTGAGAGGCGGTTCCACAACGGCGGGGGTCGAGCTTTCAGCACCGGAAGTGCCCGCGTTTGCGGAAGACCCCGATGTGCCTGTGGTATTGGGAGGAGGGGTTTTCGGAGTCTTTCCCTTCGACTTGGCCTTGGGAGCGGGTTCCTCCTTGGCGTCTCCGTCCGCCCTCTTCTTCAAGTTCTTCACCAACTCGGCCCTTGGCTGCAATGGTGCACAGGCTGCTAGGTTCAAGCTTCAGAGTTGACAAGCTGTTCTTGTGGCATCCCCTCACAGACCGAGAAGCTTACTAGTGGAGGTGTTGCCTTAGAGCCTGCATCGTGCGTGTGTGCATGCATCGCCATCGCGCGCTCATGCATCGTGCGGGTATTGCGCGTGCCTCGAACGTGCTGGCGAGAGTCAAGCCAACCTCGTAGAGCTCATGCTCCGGATCCAGCATGGCTTTGTAGAGCTCCAGCTTAATCTTGGCCTTCAGAAGCTCCAGGTGATCCCCATTCAAGACGATTCCCACGAAAGGGATGCGACGCTCGACGCACCTGAGATGCTGCAACGCTCGCAGTAAAAGAATGCCGGACTCCAGGCCTGCGTAAAGTACAGACGAGGCGCTTCAAGGCCATCAAGTGGTCCATGGCGTATGCCTGCACCATCACTTTGACGTTGAAGGCATTCAGCACTTCCAGGTACAGAGACGGATGCGTCAGGTGCCAGGAAACCGGCTCCCCGGCGTTGCACACGGGCTTCGCCGGTGCGTCCGGGACAGTCCCCCCAACCAGGATTTTCGCAGATGAGGTGTAGACCTTCTTGCGGTCAGCTGGGCTGAGAAGCCAGGTATCCTTGTGGTCCAAGCCTAGCCCTGCAACAGGGTTAAAGACGTTGCCATTGTTGGCGCCATCGAGCACAATGCGCTTGCGCTTGGGAAGCCACAACCCATCGAGAGTGTAGATGCTCATAGACTCCATCTGATTGCAGATGCCGCGAATGCGCTCTCTGCTGTCTTGGATACCCTCCAAAGAGTAAACCACATAGAAAGGATTGCGGGCCTTGGTCATCATGTTGCTGCCCGTCGTCGCCGCATAATTGGTGAAGACGCTGGCGATTTGCGACGAGAGGCCCTCGCGGCCCCCGTCTAAGATCGCGACAATGTCCCCTCTGATGAGCTCGCCCTCCTGCCGCATGTGGCAACATGCACGGGCATGCAACAATGCGGATGTAATGTACTGCTCCCCAACCCTGCATCAGCACTTAGACCCCCGTCCTGGCTCGGGTCCTCACCCACGCCCTCGAAGCGAGCTTTCACGAAGCCATGGAGGAACTTGGTGACCCAGGACTTTTGGAATGGCGGGAGCCGGCAATGAGGCAAAGCCGAGGCTTCCCCCATTGTTTTCGTGTCCATGTACAACATGACAGATCCCTGCGAAGGAGCGGTGGGCGGGAGATTTGCATCATACGGCCTGCAGCTCTTCACCACCGTGTTGCCGAGAGCCGCTGCCAGCTCTGTGTAGGAGGATGAAGTGTCAGGAATGAGCTTCACGAATTGGTCCGTTGTTGTCTGGATGTGTTCCTCCCATTGCAACTATCATCCCAGAATACAAGCTTACAAACTCATGCCTGCTCCCGACCCTCCATGCAATGCGAAACCAATCTGGTGCTGGCCTGCCACCTTGCAAGCTCGTTCGAGTCATCCACCGCTACAATCTTAGGGTCCACGAAACTCATGTCCGGCGCCGCTGCAGGGGCGCCGGGCACCTGCTCATCTGCAGCGGCTCCCGGAGCCACCATCCCTTTGTTGGCCATGCAGAGTCTGGATTTCATCAAGACTGTCGGCCAAGTGGGAGCATTGCGTCAACAAGTCTTTGAAAACAATGGTACCGCGCAGGGAAGTCTTGTAGTGGCCGTCGTTGGTCACACCGTAGACATCTGCCTGACACCGCCGCTGATTCACACACTCGCATAGCAACGGGACAAAGATTCCGTGGGAGCGCAACTTGGTGGCAACACGTCAAAACCCGAGCCTTCAGGAAGGCGATAACCTTCCGCGCAGCCTCACTCACTGTGCTTTGCCACTGCATGTTCTCGGGACGCGAGTTGTCCAGGAAGAGCTGGTGCGAGGAGCACCGGTCTCGAATCTCCTTTTTGTCATCGAATGGCATCGGCAGCGACTCCAGAAATGACGTCAGCAGGTGCTGCAGCAGTTCGTGCTTGAAGTTGAACAGCGTGATGAGGCCCTTGCCACGCGGAGGGTCCTCGCGGGTCTCTGAAATTAGCATGTTGCGGCAGGCATATAGGGAAAGCCTTAAAAACACACATGCAAGCCAGGCACCAGCGTGCTGGCGTTGAAGTCGCGAGGAAAGGCTATCTGTGTCTCAAGCATGAACTTCACGGTGCGAAGGGTCCAGCCGATCGGCGTCGCCTTGACCACGACTTTTTCCAAAGTCCCAAGCTGGCAAAAAGGGCTGGCCTTGCCCCAGCTTTCTTCCAACTGGAAGACCAAGCTTCGCAAATCGCTGTCCTGAAGAAGCCTGGTATAGATCTTCTGCGCAGCGCAGACGAAATCCAGGCTCACCTTCTCCAGCACCTTGGATTCCCGATTCGGGATCTGGCGGATCCAGGCCTCGTACACCTGCTCGTTGGTGATTTTGCCACCTCCCTTGGCGGCCTCCAAACGCTTCCGGAACAGCATGAGTTCCATGATTCTCTGTGGTCCACTGCGAAGCACAGCTTCGAACTCGTCGGCAATATCGTTGCGGAGATTGACCTGAGAATGCTTCCGCACCCTAAATGTCAAAGGGCCCTTACGCGAAACTACCGCTCTGTTCCGTGATGCCTCACAAGCACTGTCATGTTGTGTCGCATGCAACATACAAGTTGATATAGGCTTCTCATGTCTCTGAGGCAATCGCGCTTCTGATGAAGGCGTCCATGGGACTCGCATGCTGCTCGAAGCACAAGGTCACGGAAAGCACGATTTTGCGCCAGAACCTCGCAGTCACATACCAGTCTGAAACAACACCGCAAGCCGCGCTGGTGAGACTTGCGAGGTCTCCTATACAGCCCAGGGACAGAAGCTCCGACACGTCTGGGGCCGCATCGATCACTTCACTCACCAGCAAGAGCAAGGCCTCGTCGTACTCCTGTGCCGAGATCCTTCGGAGGTTCCCGAGCTCCAAGGCACCATCAGGAGCCACTGCAACGACGAGGTTGTAGTCGAAGCTCCTCTCCCGTTTAATCCTTGCCTGCAGCATCTTCACCCCATTGCGATTGGTAGGTACGCTTTTGGCGGGACTCCACCTCAGATTCAGCCAGAAGAGGTTTCCGGCCGCAGCATACTTCCCGTGGCGAAAGAACGCCGCGTCATACTTCTTCTGCTCAAAGGCATCCTGGCAGCCCACAGCCAGTGAAACGTGCTACTTCCGCAGGAACTCTGGAGAAACAGAACAAGGCCCCACGAAACACCAAGCCACAGAGACTTGACATGTATTCTGGAAACTAGAGGATGCCCAGGGAAACCGCAAGTACAGACGAATAAAGCCCGTGACACAGGACGCCACTCAAGCTCCCCGGGCCTACGCAAACATAAGCCACCAGAGACAAGCAAAAACAAGCAGAGGCAACGCGCATGCAGCCAATCAAACTTGCCACGGAAAGGGATACTAGCAGATCAGGCCCCAAAAAACGTGACGAGCTGCAGGACAAGCCCCGTGACGCAGGCCACCCTTGAACCAGCCGTGGCCTTCATTCCTGCAAGGGGGTTTCATTCCCAGCCCTCCTCTCACGGAATCCTGGCAGGCTGTTGTAAGCACAGGGGTGCGCACCCCTATGCTTCCATCAGCCGGCCAACTGCCCGGCTGATGGAAGGACTGCTTGCGACACCCTCCCCCCTGATGTAACCACAGGGGTGCCCACCCCTATTCTTACATCAGGGCGGAGGGTGTCGCAAGCAGTCCTTCCATCAGCCGGGCAGTTGGCCGGCTGATGGAAGCATAGGGGTGCGCACCCCTGTGCTTACAACAGCCTCGCCTCAGGCACAGCCCACGGTCGGGCAGTTCCCCGACCGTGTGTTGGCATGAGCCATTCCTCCTTAACCAAAGACCCGTGACGTCACACCGCGGAAAACCGCAGCAGAAGGCCCCGTAACGCCCCCAAACCTCCACGTCACAGCCACGCCTGTCCTAAGAGCAGCACGCGCACCCGTAACGCACACAAAGCTGCGCGTTACACCGACCCATTCGCTGGGCAAAGAACGGAACCGCCACCTAGCCGGCCCCGTAACGCGTACAGTCCTGTCTGAAACAACAGCAGAAGGCCCCGGTAACAGAGACGAACCTCCCCTACGATTGTCACGCCTGTGTTCAAGGCACAGCAAAGGCAGCCGTAACGCACAAAAACCTCCGTATGAGAGTACTGTCAAAAGTAGTGCAGCCGCTAAACTACATTTGACCACCGAAACCCACAAAGCATCACACCTAGAACTGTCACGCCTGTGCCGAAACCTCAGCAAAAGGCCCCGTGACACACCAAACCCGCCTCTCCTGCACCTGGCAAAGTCACGCCCAGGGAACCAAGAGAACCGCAATCGGGCCCCTAACGCACGCCAGCCTGCACGTCCCGCCTGCATCTGTCACGCCTGTGTTCTGAACACAGCAAAGGGACCCGTGACGCAAACAAGCCGCAGCATCACGCGTCACGCCTGTCTTCAAAGCGCAGCCAAAGCATCCGTAACGCACGAAAGCCTCCGCGTGACACCTACAGTACAGTACTGAAACCTCAGCAAAAGGCCCCGTGACACACCAAACCCGTCTTCGCGTCAAACCTGCACCTGGCACGCCTAGGAAAACAAGAGCAGTCGGCCCCGTGACACAGACAAGCCCGCCTCCTCGTTACACCTCACAGTACAGCATCGGCCCCGTCGCGCAGACAAGCCCCGCGTTCCACCTACTATATATATAGCACACTGGTGTTGAACACAGCAAACGCAGACACACAACTCAGTTTTACACCTACAACTGTCACGCCTGTGCCGAAACTTCAGCAGAAGGCCCCGTGACACACCAAACCCGTGTTCGCGTCACACCTGCACCAGCTGAGCCTGGCACGCCTAGGAAAAGAAGCGCAATCGGCCCCGTGACGCAGACAAACCGCTGCCGCGTCACGCCTGTCTTCAAAGCACAGCAAAGGTAGCCGTAACACACAAAAGCCTCCGCGTCACACCTACAGTTGTCACGCCTGCGCGGAAACCTCAGCAAAAGGCCCCGTGACACACCAAGCCCGTCTTCGCGTCACACCTGCACCAGCTGAGCCTGGCACGCCTAGGAAAAGAAGAGCAATCGGCCCCGTGACGCAGACAAACCCGCTTTCGCGTCACGCCTGTCTTCAAGTCTCAGCAAAGGTAGCCGTAACACAGAAAAGCCTCCGCGTCACACCTGCAACTGTCACGCCTGTGCCGAGACCTCAGCAAAAGGCCCCGTGACACACCAAACCCGCCTCTCCTGCACCTGGCACCCAGTTCATCATGTTATAATGTAGTTTCAAGACTATTTCTGGGTGACAGGATTTTCGAACGTCTGGGCGTCACACCCAGTGACACATTGAGAGGACAGGAAACTGCCCCGTAACACAGCCCCAGTGTCACGCCTGCGGAAAACCACAGCCGAAGTCAGCGTAAGGATGAGGGAAACCTTGGAAGAACATCCTGGTCAAAGCCCAACCGCAGCCCGCACAGTGGCTCCCGCAATGCAGGTTTAGCTCTCGTTCCAGCGACTACATAACTACGAACAAAATTGCATGCAGCCCTACAACTTCAGTCCGGACTGCCCCTGGATTAAATTCTTGAAGGAGGTCCTTGTGTCCACTGAGGTGCTCCGCAACGTCAGTCGTGCTGATGCCGATGGGCGCAGCAGTCAGGATATCGGCGAATGCCGGACATCCAAGGATGTTCTCGATCGCACGGTTGACTGCTGCATCGTGCTCCAAGTTTAAATTCTCTGGAAGGGTGGCTGTCACCTCCTCGCCCTGATTCGCATCCGCGGCAGACGAACTTGCCTTTGCGCTGACCTTGGCCTTCGCACCGGCCTTTTTCTTGGGCGGCATGACGAATCAAGTCTGAGGAGACGAGGCAATGACAAGAAGCGCCGAAATGGCGGTCTACAAATCCACGACCCAAAGAGCTGCAGAGCTCCACATCCGCACAGTTTCAATTGCGATGATCATGCATGCGACAGCTATCATGGCAGTGTAGGACAAGCGTGTATCATGCACAGACCCACATGTCAGTGTACAAACACTCAGAGACTCACGCACCCGGGCCTGCGTGCGGTTCTTTTGGCCACATGCACCTGCAGCAGCGCAAGCGGAAGTGACTGCATGAGTCTGAATGCGCAGCGGTCGGCGACACAGAAATGCACGCAAGAGTGAATATTTCTCATCTCAGCTGCCCTCCCTGATCCCTGGGGCACCGTTCCCCTCTTCTTGGTGGCACATTGCAACATGCATGCCCTTGCCTCTGCCCTTGAGTCTTATAAGTTAGGACAACGTAAAAAATCAGGGTTGGCTGCGACTCTCTCGGACAGATGCACTGGCAAGGAGACTTCTGGGTAAGCTGCCGGAGGTTATGTTTTCAACAACGAACCCCAGTCATCGCAACCGCAGACTTGCATACAAATTTCAGGAACCCTTTCTTCGTGAACATGTTGGGCTCCCCTGCTATCTTGTGCTCTTCGCTATCAGCGAAGAGCCCTACGCAGAGGAAGTTCTTCTTCTGCCCACGGAAACGCAAACTTCTTTCCACAAACTCGTCCAATGCATGAATTTGCGACCATTTCGACTCTGCACGGCTGACTGCTTCCAGGACCACCTGAGCAACCTGCGACTCCGACCGCAGGAATGCTGTTGAAAGGAAAATGAAGCGCTTCACTAGTAGGGCAGCATCGAACGCAAAGGCCACCCCAGAGTTGCCCTTGGATCGTGCGTATTCGACATTGCATAACAGCCCTCCCTGAAGCACTGCAGCAAACAACACCGGCATGCCCGGGTCCCCAGGGTCCGCAACCACGTAGTGCGAGGCCTCAGAAAGAGTCACGGTGGCGCGGGAGTTGCTCAGGCCGTGCTCGGCCACCCATCTTGCATCTGCCACGTAGAAGGAGCCTGCTTGCACGTTCACTTTCTTTGGCCGGAGCTGCTGCGCGATAGCATTCTCGCGTGCTACTCGCCCAGCATCGAGACGCTCTTGATGCGTTCTTAAAGCCACGGCCGTCTCCACCAAAGCCAAGTCCACTTCGGACTCGAGCAGAGCTCCGTCCAGGTAGGCCATGACTTTGTTGCCGTACTTCTCGCTGACTTGCCAACCTTCTTCGTCTAAAACAGCTTGGCTGACCCAGCAGCCATTCTCAGCGGCCTGCAGCACCTCTGCTGGATCCACGGGCAGAGCGCCTTTGTCGACCTCCATCCGGCGCCTCTTTATGAAAGCCTTCTCGGACTGAGGATCCTGCAAATGCTATGAAATCCCGCAGACCTCAACCTACCACAGACTGGATGTGCGAAACCGCAGACCCCTATCCTCACAGCAACCCCGGACCTTATAACCATCAGGATGAGTCCTTCCGTTTCGGAACCCCACGGTCGAGGCGCGTCGCGCAGCTGGCACGGGGCTTGCCGAAGTTGTCAAGCCAAATCTGCCGCGCGCGCTGCGATAGCCACTCGTGCACCGAGCAGTCGTGCAGGAGCATCAGGAACGCTTCGTCTTCCGCTGTAGTGGGTAGCATGCACTTTCGTTCCTTGGGTTGAAAGCGCTGCAGCTTCGAAAAGCTTTGTTCCACACCCGATGTGGAGAGCCCACAGAAGCAGCCGTATTTGATGAGAACGGGCAAGATCGCGTCAATCTTGTGGCGCTGTCGCACCTGTGGCTTGCTAGCACGGCAGCGAAGCGCGGCTGCCCTCCAACCCTCGAAGCTGGTGCAATGGTTCACAGAAACCTCGTAGCGTGCGATGGGCTCCAGATCCATAAACTGATCTCGCAACGCTTGCGGATCCTGATGGCAGACCTGCGCCAATCTTTCCAAGCTGGCCTGGCGGTGTTCCGTCCACATGAGGTGTTCCAAACTGTCTTCATTCTTGCGCTTCTCGCGGATGTTCAAGACAGACATGGCACTCAAAACATCGTGGTATGGAAACTCCTGCTCCACTGTATGCACAGCAAGGCGGACATATGCCTTGAAGATCTCACAGCAGCCTGCCAGCATCGTTCCGTTCACACGACCCTCTCCACCAAGGGTTCTCGCCTCATTCTTCAGCAAGAAACCACGCTGATCTTGCAAGTACTCGATCATGTACTGCGTGTATCCTTGAGAAAGCACACCGCCCTGCAACTGCAGGAGATGCACGCAGAGGTACCAACCCTTACGTGTCCCTAAGTACCGACTATAACCATGCATCGATTTTGGTCTTCACGCAATGTAGGGCTGCAAGTTGCAAGCTGTCACCTATAGTACTTAGCTACTAAGTTACATGATACCTTGCACAAATGTCATCATGCCAAGCTGGCCTTGTTGATGAGGAAGTGCAGCCTGTCCATCAGGCAGCCAAGCTCCTGAGGAAATTCGGCCGCGTCGAACTCTTCCTGATCGCACAAACGGAGCACCCTCATATTCTCGTCTGAGATGTCTGCAGCCATCGCGAGCAGTATGAGGCCTTCCTCGGACAACGATGCCAAGCAAGCCAGGCATCTGTCTCTTTCTGCACCGGTCCGATGTGCTGCAGCCCACAGTATCGTAGAAAGCATGGCATCGAAGGTCAAAACGGCCCGGCCCAATGGCTTCTGCAACGAAGAGAACCGATGCTTTGCAGCGCGAAGATCTCGGATGCGTTTCGCGTTAATGGGCACCTCGAGCTTCTGAACGTAGCTCCGGTACACGCTGGCCATGCCGTGGCTGTGTTCAATCATCTGAGTGACAGAGTTGGCGCCGGTGACCCACTCCTCGAGAATGCGTTGGATCGGCTCCACCGCCGCCCAAGGGCGTTTGAGCACCCTGCCGGGGGATTCCAAATGCAAACTCTGGACGGCCTACGCTGCATGCACTTATCTGCTGAGTTTGAGCTGAGGTTGTATCGCAGAGAGAGAGAGAGAGAGAGAGAGAGAGAGAGAGAGAGAGAGAGAGAGAGAGAGAGAGAGAGAGAGAGAGAGAGAGAGAGAGAGAGAGAGAGAGAGAGAGAGAGAGACGTCAGCAACGAGCTACGTATCCCTAGATTCCCTAGTTTGGACAGGGCCGGCCGTTGCATTGCATGGCTCGAGTCGTGGTTGACAACCTTGCTATTTGGGAACAAAGCCGACGGCCCGGTACGGCTCATGCGACCAGCAACTTGTTCGTTGGAAGCCTTGTCAGCACAGACGACCTCCACTTTCTCGCGGAAATTATTGACCAAAGCCACGTCCACTTGGCCGTCAATGCCGCTGGTGCACAGATCCTCCAGCACGCGACGGACACTGGCCACCAAAGCAGATGAAGTCTCTCTTTCTGGTACGAATTTGAAACCCACCATGCCCCTGCTGATAGTCAGGCTCTTGTCGCAGCAGGTATACCTCAGCAACAAAATTCCTTCGCGTGAGTCCATCTTGAGCGCTATGGACTCAGCTCCCCGAATTTCCTGTCGTGTCTTCTCGCGGGCAGCCTCGGCCAAGCAGAACGTCATTTTGCCAATCTTCCAAGAGCCCATGCCCTCGACCTTGCTGCAAAGAGGCCGACCCTCCAAACGTGCTTGCAGCACCTTTGTGAAGTTTTCCAAGCTTGGCGCGGCATCCTCGTCGTCGTCCACTCCATCAAAGCCAGCCTGCTTGGCCGCACGCGCGTGCTGGCTGCTGTTGCCATGCCTTCGCACATTACCCAGTGACAGCGTCTGCACACGGCCTTCGGCCCACGGTGAAATGAAGCCCGCTTGTCGGCACACGAAGCAGCCCAAGCCCCAGCGGTTCTTGCTGCACATCCTCGCTTCTAACCACGTCCCCGCTGCAGAGCGATCCGACGTCAAGCTGGCAACCTGCAATGGGATCTACAAGGCTGAACTCTGAGACCTTTAGCGCACTAGGTCAATCTGGTATAGCCCTGCCTCGCACCAATGGTCCCTCTGCCGCAGAAACAAGCAGCGGGGACAAGTTGCCGGATCCTTGCATGCCTGAACGTGCGAGATGTCGTCTGCAAGCTGGCAGGTCTTCATGTCTTTGTGCGACACCGTGATGCTGCCTTGTGCCTGCTGTGCCCAGCGTGCAACCCTTGGCTGGTGGACCAGGCCCTCCGTGTTTTTGGGCACGCGTGCCGGCGGCTCGTCATCAAAGCCATCCAGAAGAGACATGATTGCCCCGCAGCCTCTACCGGTAATGGCAACAATGACAAGTCCAAACTGAACAGAAGAGGCCGACGGCGGCAAGCTTGCAGACATGACCGCTGCAATGACAAGTAAGGCGTGCACACATGGACCAAAGCTTTGGTATGAGTCAACTCAACCAGTAACCAGTGTGACGCACATCATCACATCGGGCCTGCTGATGCCGCGCATCTCACGGCGAAGCCTGCCAGCATCGGGCTAAGAACCACGAGAAACCAGTCAATGACATTCGCAGGATGCACGGGGACATGTTTTCAGCCGAAGAGTCAGCAGTCAGAAGCTGTTGCCGGAGAGGCTGTTACCGCTTTTCTCGAAAAGCCCAGCCTACGAATGTGCTACCGAATCTGAAACCAGGCCACCCTCGCGCGATCTTCTGCGAACGAAGGCAGATTCCTAGAGAACCTTCGCTCCCGGCAAAACGCGTCCTGCGATGCGCCCGGAGCTTCAGCTGGTTCAGCAGGGGCAGCGGTCCAGCTCCTCGGCCATTCTCTGCAGCACGTCCTCCGGTTCTGGAGCAGCCTCAGTTGCAGCTTTCTCCGCAGAGCCGCAGGCTTGGTCCTCCACAATCTCAATCCCGAATGGGCTCTGTTCCTCAGCTTCCTGCTCCGCATGCATGGACTCGGCCTCCGAAACGGAGGAATCGGAACATTCCTCGCTCACGGAGACAATGTCCTCGTCCATATCTAGCTCTGATGGGACAACGCTGCTCTCCTCCTCTTCCTCCTCATCTTCGCCGCAGTCCATACTCTCGCTGTCATCTCCGTCGCACTGGATACCCTCGCTGTCCGAGGTGTTGTCATCTTCGATTTCCTCGCGGGTAACAGCTGGGACATAGAACTGCGTCTGTCTCCTCACACGCTGTTTCTGAGGATCTCGCGGATAGATCGTGTAACGGTAGTGACTGCTGCGGCCAATTTGCTCACGAGCACGTTGCTCATAAGATGCTGCAGGCGGAGTCGGAGTCGGCCGTGGTTTCGGGACCTGCAAGCCAAGACGAAAAGAGTCCAGCCTTTGGATCACTTCCGCCTTTGAGCCTCTGATCGTCAGCGAATTCTTGGTGCAAACCTTGCGGAGGTCTCGGATCGTCATCGCCTCCATCTCGGCTGGCAGTGGCAGCCGCTCCATCTCGGAAGATTCTTCCGAGATGGCACTTCTGAAGTGGCAGAGCCGGTTTGTCAGGTTTTCGATTAGCTGCAACGGCAGGTCAGCTTGAGTGATCAATACCTTGACCTTTCCCTGACGCTGACTCCAGATTCTGTGCAGCCTCTAAGGGGCCTTGTCAAGAACTTCGTGTAGTGCGTCGGGACAGCGCTCCCTTTATGGCAACGGCTTGGCTAAGCAAGAAGAACTGGAGAGCGGGACCAGGACAGATGACTTAAAAAATCAGGAAAGCTGTGCTTGTGTAAACATGACCTGAATTTTATAGGGCTACTACTGTCTGCGGTGTTTGAAGTGCCACGAGAATCAGTGCAGTCACTCTCGGATATCGCAAGTGCACGCAGGGGCTGTCTGGACCAAACTGCGAGCCATGAATCATGCTGGGGTGCAGCTGTGGAACACATCACTTCTCAAAGCACTTCCCGAAGGCACTTCCGAAACCAGCCCGGTCTAGGAAACCGCACTTCCGAAGTCTGGTTTTCAAGGCCCTCACTCACTGCAGGAGCAGGCCTGCCCGCCTGCGGGCGAGCACCGTGGCAAGCAACTGCCTGCCATGCCGCTGGGGGGGGGGAGGGGTTCCGGTCTCGCTGGACATCTTATGTAGATCAGCAAGGTTGTGTCGGGTTTAGGGCTCCGTCAGAAAATGTTTTGAGAGGGCACTGAAATGCAGCACAACAACATCTGGTGCGGAGGTTGTTGTCACACCTGACACTTCGACATTGATTGTCCACAAGGACAGCGCCTCTACAGCCAAGTCTATTCTCAGTCGGCAATTGCAATCATGTCACCTTACTTGACTGATGCGTATTCGAAGTCCACTTGCGAGGACACTGCCTGAAGATGGCTCAGCACGCATCTCTGGTTCCGGTGTTTCGCAAGCTTCAGCGCGGTTGAACTATCAGGTAATTTGATATAAGGACCCGGAGTTATAGAGCGGGTCTCCTGATCTGAGGTGCCATGGATGCCTCACCCTAGCTGCAGGAACCCCGGAACACATTCCTGGGTCGACTGTGTTTGAGGCCTGCGCCACAGGCCTGGAGACATCCTCTGCGCAGGAACCTCGGCAGGGCAAGTTTTGATTCTGCCACTGCCACTGCCAGTGTGTTGCAAAACCGTGCTCTTTTAGGGCTCCCAGAACCCCTGCTGCGAAGACGTCTGGGCTTCAGTTGCTGGAGCCTAGCTAGCTGGCTTTGCTTTGCGAGCATGGCGTGGCAGCAGGGTTCGAGCGGCTCTGGCGGCTACTATGCTGGGTGGTCCGGCGGCGGTGGATCCGGGGCCTCAGGTTCAGGTGGCAACGGCGAGGAGGAGCGTCGTCGCAAGGAGAAGAAGCGCAAGGAGGAGCTCCCGTCAGGACAGGATAGAGAGGCCATGCGAAAGAAGTGGATAGCGGAGGTCCAGAAGGAGCGCTTCCGAGGCGACAAGTTGGAGGCCCGGACGAGGGACAGCTGTAGAATCTGTAGAAGAAGGACAGTTAGAAGGACAGTTACAGACGCAACAAGAGGAGACAGAGAGACGGGGAGAGAAATAAAAAGCAGGCCAACTCTGTCAAGTTCTTCGTCTTCCGCCCATGAATGCGAGAGCCAGAGCGAGATCTAGAGCGAGAGCGAGAGCTAGAGCGAGAGAGAGGGAAAGAGCGAGAAAGAGAGATAGAGAGAAAGAGAGACAGACAGCGACGAGTGCAGCGACTAACTTCCATTCGGTGAGGCAGAGGTCGGCGTGCTCAAGCAGCACTTGCAGGAGGCCATCGCTGGCCAGAGCCATGCCCAGGCCTGTCATCCGTTGTTTTGTGCGCAGCACTCCCAATCGGAATCCACGTTTGGCTGGTATATTGCAGGATGTCGCGAAAACCGAGCTGGCTGCCTGCGAGAAGTACGAGGCCCTGGCTGCCTCCATGAAGAAGAGCAAGGACGAGATGTCCACGCAGCTGGACGTGGCCACCGGAGCAGGGGCGATCTTGAGGGTGGAGAAGGACACCGGGAACTGGTGTTGCATCAGCGCGCGGTCTCAGCCCCTCCCAACGCCACAGGACCAGCTGCAGAAGGAAGTGTCCGGGTTGCAATCTGCTCGAGAGAAGGACCAGGCCTTTCCGTGTGTTCCCGGAGTCTGACTTCTTGCCTTCCTTGGTTTCCTAGATTTCTGGAAGGCCGTTCATCGTCAGTACTCCACGCAGGAGCAGAACAAGGTGAAGGAGTCTAGCTTGCTTTGAAGACTAGCCTGCAGCAGTTGGTGACATGGTCGGAATGTGCAGGAGCTGAAAATCCAGCTGATGGCCATGGAGAAGGAGCTCACAGATCTGAGCCAGGCGAAGAGCTTCGCGGACGACATGATGCTGACGTCGCAGAAAGAGCTCGCAGTGTCGGAGTTCAAGGAGGCCGGCCCTTCTCTTTTTCTGGTCTGGCTTGCACGTCAAACCTTGTTCGCTTGCAGGAGGAGACGCAGAAGGAGCTCCAGAAGTACAAGAGCTTGGTGACGGCCATGGAGATGGGGTTGAACGACAGCAATCAGCAGCAGGCCGACGAGCATCACAGATGTAGCATTTTCCTTGCATTGCTCTGCGAGGATATCCTAAAGAGCCGCCTCAAAGCAGAGGAGGTCAGGTGTTTAGCCCGCCATCACATAGGCGTTGCTTTTCGCTTTCACTATGCTTTCAGGAGCAGCATGCGCTCTCGCTGAAGCAGATGGAGGCACGGAGGGAAGTGACTGCCAGACCATCATCATGATCACATGAGATGAAGTCAACTTCAGCTGACACTGACACAGACCAAGACAGGATCAAGGAAGAAGCTTCGGAGATGCAGCTAGACGAGATGATGCAAACTTCTCATGACACATGCCAGGACTCGGCGAAGCAGGAGCTCCAGGAGATGCACAGCCGGCTAGAGAAGCACCAGGCATGATGGTGAAAAGCAGTAAACTGAGTCTTGCTGTCATCTTTGTGTGGCCTGGGTCAGGCAGAGCAGTCTGAGATGGAGGCAGAAATGACAAGGCTGGAGGACGCAGGGCCACAATTTGTCATTCAGAGCGCTTGCTCGTTACAGCTGCATCGTCAGCTTATCGTAATCCACCGTATGGCGAACGAGGCGACTAGCATGCCCACCATGCTTCATTGACTGCAGAAAAAAATGACCCTTTTGGCAGGACGAGTCTTTGTCACTCTGGATGAAGCTCCAGGCATCCGAAGAGAGAGCGGCGAGCTGCACTGAGGACACCCTATAATATCATAGCTTCCCCGACTTGGACTCGAATGATTACTGCTTGCACTAGCTGGAACAGGACCCGGAGCCACGTGTGCCACCAGAGGCTGTTGCAAGAAGCCCCAGTGAAGAGATCTCGACTGAGGTCGCGACTCCGACTCCAGTAGGACCCGGATCGCCCAGAGGGTCACCCACTAGTCCAGCAGGCTCTTCCTGCAGTTGAGTATCTTTGAGACAGTCAAGCACCTAGCCCCGATATTATAGAACTCAGGTAGATAACAACAGCAGATTGATGATGAACAGCCTGCTGGCAAATGCGCATATCGAGATTCCGCATGAGAAGCTTCCGTTGCACTCGGCAAACCAGAAAAAAACAGGTCACAAGGGCATGCTGCTACGACTGCTACATGCGACAGTGGTTTCAACAATCACAAGTGCTGCGCCAGAAGCAACTGAAATTCGAGAAGCCGCCCAAGCATGCTATCCGGTGTGCTCAGGTCGCAACGTCTGGGTCGCAGTCAAGTCTGTTTGGGCCTCAAGCCCAGGGTATGCGAAGTCTTGTGCTGCATTGAATTGGTGCTCTCCAAGTCTTCAAGACTGGGACCGTCACTCACCAGCTGCACTGCGACAGAACCCGGCTTGATCGGCCTCAGGATTCGCAATCATTCGCATGACTCCGCATGACTGAACGCCGGCACCTGAGTCTGGACCTTTGCGCTATCGCAGCGCAGACACTTGGGATGATGTTGGAGGAGGTCGCGCTGTCGCAGCGCCACCCTCCCCCTTTTTGTGTTTCTGCGCGCTATCGCAGCGCATCCGGTCATGGGATGAGACGCACTATCGCAGTGCGACCCTCTCTTGAAGTTCGGGAGGGCGCGCCGTCGCAGTGCACCCCCCTGTATTCTTTTTAGTTTCTAATGCGTGGATGCTAGTCACGAAGATGACCCTTAAACCCAAAAGGACACCTGTCTAAACCTGGCTCCTGCCCTCCTTCCTTTCACTTCACCTTCCTGCAGACTCTCCCGTCTTTCTCCTGATGCTGCTGATGCTTGCGACTTTCTGAGTGGGGTAGGGAAGGGAGGGGATGGGCCGGGAAGGAAAGGATAGTGGGGGAAGAAGGGAGAGGAGAGAGGGGTAGAGAGAGGAAGAGGGACGGAGGGGAAGGGGGAGGGGGGGCGTGTGAGGTGTGGACAAGCACGTGCGGTGAAAGGGAGGGGGCGGGGGACCCTCCTGTCCGGACAACGCCCGGAGCCCAGCTGATGCTCGTGGGTGCGGGGGGGCCACATTGTCTGGACAACGCCAGGCCCAGCCGATGCTCATGATGCTGGCTGGGTGGGGGCCGCATTGTCCGGACAACAGCTGATGCTCATGATGCTCGCCCGGGGCCCAGCTGATGCTCATGATGGCCTGGGTGTGGGGGCCGCATTGTCCCATCTGATGCTCATGATGCTGGTTTCGGTGTGGGGGCCGCATTGTCCGGACAAACCCCGGGCTCCAGCTGATGCTCATGACTCATGATATTGGTTTCGGTGTGGGGGCCGCATTGTCCGGACAAGGCCCGGCGGCCGGGGTCCAGCTGATGCTCATGATGTTGGTTTCGGTGTGGCGGCCGCATTGTCCGGACAAGTTGGTTTCGGTGTGGGGGCCGCGTTGTCCGGACAACGCCCGGGGTCCAGCTGATGCTCATGATGTTGCTTTCGGTGTGGGGGCCGCATTGTCCGGACAACGCCCGGGGTCCAGCTGATGCTCACGATGCTGTGTCCGGGCGCACGCGGCTGTCCGGACAGGCTTGCTGCACCGGAGGGGTGTCGGACAGCTGTCTGGACAGCCCGTCTTGCTGCAACCCACCCAACTTTTGAAACCGGTGTCTGAACAATTGAGGAATTATACTGTTTCCAAGGATAAGCAGATAATTTTTGAACTTCGCCCAACTTGAAAGCATTTCTTTGCTCCAATCCTTTCCGTCCCTCTCAGCTCTCAGCCCCCCCCCCTCCCCTCCTCCTTCCACTCCCATCCTTCCTCCTCCTCCTCCTCCTCCTCCTCCTCCTCACCGTGTCGTAAGGGGCAGGTGGGGTACACGAAGAAAAAAAACGATTTCTACACACGTGCATACCTCTTCTACTTAAACTGGAGGAGATTAGATTGGATGATATTTTGTGTGTATATATATATATGTAATGTGTTTGTGCTCTTCTTCATGCAGCTGTGTGCTACTGGGTGGGTGTGTGTGGCTGGGTCTTTGAGGTAACTCGGGCAGGATGGGGGTGGGGTGGGAGTGGGTGAGCGGGTGAGTGGGTGAATGGCCGACTGAGAGGGATGGGTGAATGGTAGGATGGTGGATTTGTGGGTGGATGCATGGACGCATGGATGCATATGTATATGTATAAGTATATGTATAAGTATATGTATATGTATATGTATACCTGGGTAGCTCCACGCCCCTTTATAAATGGTTGTTCACCTAAACGCACGAATTCTGTGGCAACGCCCGCTTTTTGGCAAACGCCTGCTTTTCCCGAACACACCCTGAATCAAGCTCGTCCTCCCTATGTAACAAGATAGGCTAAGTCGAATCAAAACATTTCAAAGCCCGACTCCAGGCCTCAAGCCGACGCGAGTGCTCGAGAGAAGTGGGGTTTCAAGGTTTTGGATTCGTAATTGTCGTGTAGGCATGTGGTCGATCAAACAAGAGTTCGGAATTACAGACTCGAGATCGAGAAATACTGGGCATACTGAACAAATATATATGTAGTGCCGCTGCTCACTCCATGTCTGGAACACCGTGATGGGAAGCTCATCTGAAGGCATCCCTGGCATGATTCGGATGACCTTTTTCTCAACAGGCAAGCCAATCCCGAACAGTCAATGCCGGCCAGGTGAAACCAGCAATGCCGAGGAAAGGTGCGCCCGCCTGTCGCAAGCCGTGCGAGCTGTTGCCGGGGAAGGAATGAATAAGCTCGTTTACTTGCAGTTCTGGGGATCAAAGTCGAGCTAGCCTGTTTCACATGCATGGCTATCCCATTCAGTTTTCTGGCATGTGTACCGAAGTGGGTCGCTCACGGTGCTCTCCGAAAGCGTGCGCGATCTCAAGCCATCCTACTTCTCGACTCGCGTGGGCGAAAACACGTTGCGCCGACACTACACAACATCAGCTTGAACAAACTGCTCCTCAAGCCCTTTACCGAGGTCATGGCTGCACATGGAGTCATTCGCAAATCGCTTGAACTCGTGACCCAAGCGATCCAGGCCTTCTATCAGGAAGAACTCTCCGAGGAGCAGAGTAAGGATCCTGTAGTCCTGGCCAGAATGAACAAGGTTGCCAAGAAATCATCGAAAATCGCCAAGTCTATGTTGACATCGGTGAAACGAAAGTGGGCAAGGTGGGAAATGCCTCGTGATTCCTTCTTCGCATACGGTATCCCCTTTGTGTGTCTGTATGTGTAAAATACGACTTAGGGAGGGCAGGCTGTTTGTGTGCACGTATATATTCGCGTATATGCACTAGCTCATAAATAAGTACAGCAGCCATGCCGAATATAAGGATGATGCTATTCGGGCCATGGTTCTTGACTTGGCAAGGGCTTACTCGAAGGCGTACGAGGACACCATAGTGCTGCATGAAAGTAGCATGCGCAATGTTTTATAGCACATGTGCGGTGTGTTTTGAATTTGATTGTTTCCCGCTGATTCAGAGTCTTGCCCAAGCTAGGAAGGCCGCTCTGCAATCCACAAATCCAAAAAGCGGAAGAAGAAATCCGCCCCCAGTTCCGAGACCTCCGAGAGCATGGACGATTCAACGCTGCAGCAGCTTTTGAACCTGTGTTCGGATCCGATTTCCCGCGAGAGCCCCGGCGAGAGTCCCTGGGAAGCCTGTTTGAAGGCCCCCGATCAGAAGGAGCTCGAGAAAGCATTGGGGTTCAGCTTGGATCCTGCAGTGCATGCTCGGAAAGCCGCTGAGAAGCGGGAGGCCGCTGCGAAGCGGGAGGCCAGTGAGAAGCAGGAAGCCACTGAGAAGCGGGAGGCCGGTGAGAAGCGGGAAGCCGCTGAGAAGGTGGATGCAGCCTCGCATCTTGAAGAGACGTTGACCGAGGAAGAGATCAATCAGCTTGTGGCTGCACAAGCCGAAGCCATTACTGGGGTTGAGTCGGGAGATGCTGAAGCATCACCTTCCGAGCATCCATTGTATTGTGCATTCTTGGATGGACCTGCCCCTACAGAAGCTGAGCCGAAGCCAGAAGTTCCAGAAGCCCCGACCGTGGCAAAGCCTTTCGAAGCTCCGTGCTCCACTCCGGCCAAGCCCCCAGCCAGAATCAACCATGTGATCGAGATTTCCCCGGGCTCTCCATTGGAAACTGGGTTGCATATTTATATTTCCATGAAATCCTTATCTTTGATATCGATGCCACAGTTATAAAAGCACGTTTGCTAAGGATGCTGTTCCAAAGAAGCTTGCTGCTCCTCGTACTACGGGTCTTGCTGACCAGCTTGCGAGAATGGATCCGAAAGCCATCGAGCAGGTCCTGTCCGTTATCAACATGAAGCTGTAGTCTGGCCAGAGTTGATCGAGTATGATGTGCGATCAGTTTATGTGCACATGCATATGTGCATGCATAGCTCATGTTGGGCAAGGCGAGGTGTAGTGAGAGTCGAACAATCCTAGGCAAGCGAAGCCAGTGGATCACGGTGTGAAGCGCCGACTTTCGTTCGGCTCGGACATCTCGACCCATTCTGGTACTACTGATACCACGTCAGGCAGCTGTGCAGATCGTGAGCGTTTGCAATTTCAGTTTGGATGTGCACCTTGCCTTGAGAGTTGGTTTCATTCACACTTGGCAATGCATGGGCAGGTTCTGAGAGGAAGATGGATAACGTGGAGACACAGGCGTGGCTACCAACGGAAGATGAGTTGGTGCAAGCCTGGGGACAGGTGGAGAAGAAGGAGATGGAGCTTCGCGAGCGCGAAGCGGAGCTTGCGGAGATTGAGAAGGAAAATCAGCGCTTCAAGAGCCAGGAAAAGCTGCGAAAGCAGCTTGAGCTTCAGGAATTCCGAAGGGCCAGGGCGGTTGAGCAGTCCAAAAAGGATGCACTTCCTGATGATGCGAAGCCCGCTACTAGCCCGTCATTTTGTATGTAGGATATGAAGTGCAAAGACGGCTTGCGTGAAGTTAAGTGCGGTGGGATTACGGCTTTGCTCTATGCATCTAAGGCTGCGTCTGTGGTCACTCGGACGATGCAGCTGGGGCTCACGGCCAACAAGAGGGCCAAGGACACCGAGGCTGATCCCAGCGGTTCGGTGGCGAAGCCAAAAAGCAAGGCTAAGGCAAAAGCCAAGGCCAAAGGTAAGGCTAAAGCTAAGGCCAAGGCCAAAAGTGCTGGCTCCAAGAAATCGGCTGCTGCTCCAGCTGAGCCGGAGGAGAGTGATGCTCCACCTGAGCCGGAGGAGGAGAGTGATGCTCCAGCTGAGCCGGAGGAGAGTGGTGCTCCGGAGGAGAGTGGTGCTCCAGCTGAGCCGGAGGAGAGTGGTGCTCCATCTGAGCCGGAGGAGAGTGGCGCTCCTAAGCGCAGTCCCAAGGGCAAGCGTCTGCGCAGGAAGGGTGCCAAGATGTTCCGATCCATGTCCAGGCGGCGCCTCACTTGCAGCGCGAAATCGACCTCCGAGAAGTGTGCCCCCAAAGGCAAAGCCGGCAAGCGTGGCAAGGTTGCTGAGCACGAGCCAGGTGAGGACGTCGCGAATGCCACGCAGCACTACGAGGAGGGCGAGAAGAACGATTTCGAGGACGAAGAGAGTTGGGCTGAGCCGGCTGCGGGAATCATTGCCGGTCGCGTGGATCGGAAGCGGGCTGGGGAGGCCGGCGAGGCCACCGTTAGCGCGAAGCGGTCGCGGAAGTCCAAAGCCAAGGAGTTTGTGGAGCCACCCCCAGAGGAGGAGGAGGCGGAGGAGCAAGATGAAGAGCCTGAGCGTGCCCCCGAGGAGGATTCCTCGAGAAAGACCTTTGCCAGGCGGACAATGGCTGAGAGGGGTTGGAACAGGGCCAGATGGGAGGCCATCCGAGATGCCTACAATGCCAAGATCCGCTGCTTTGTGACCGGGCACTCGAAGCTTGAGGACCTTTGCACGTTTGTTGGTTGCGCGGGTTTTGCTGTGTGCGACACTTGAGGAGCGGTAACGCTTTGTGAATCAATTCAATAAGTGCTTGCAGGATACGTTCTGGTCCTATGTGGTCACCAACATGAAGAAGCGTGGCCAACAGGTCACGGCAAAGGAGTGGCCCGAGGCTGCCCGTGATGCGTCATGGGAGTTTCTTCGGGATGAGAGTATCAGCTCCTAAACTCATATTTGGATTGTGCGCAAGTCTTGTACTGTCCTCCAATCGTTGTTCATGATTGACTTGTCTCTTCTCTTTCCAATTAAGGCAAGAAGTGGACGGACCTTGGCAAGAAGTGTTTCGCGGGGTCGAAGAGGAAGACTCGCAAGCAAGTCGATGCGATTCTCCAGGAGCAGGGATTGGCTACTGATTCCTAGAATCGAGTGGCTTAGATATCATGTGACTTCATGCTTTCAGCTGCAAGGGGACTCGGGGTCTCAGTGGAACCTCTTGCGTAGAAGCTGATTTTGGTCCTATGGGCCGGCCACGGTCCATTTTGAAGGTTCCCGGCGACCGGCTTGAACATTGGTTGCTGTGCTATACGTTTCATTGAGTTCTGTTGGTCAGCATGCAACAGCTGTGTACCTACTTGGGCCTCTGTCATAATAGCCGGTCTGCTGGAGTTTGGTGTCTGCGTTCACGCCTAGTTGGGTCCGTTCGAAGCTTTCGCAGTCTATATACTGGGCTGATGCAAAAAAGTCTGCAAGGTGCGTTGCGTGAATGCTACTGATGTCATTGGCTGCTTGGACAGCGCATGCTGGACAAAGCTTCTTAGCTCGCTTGCAGTCCTCAGCAATCGAAGCCGTTCTTCCGCAGGTCATGCATCGTCGCCATCCTGAACCAGCCGATTCAGCAGACTCATCAAGTTCAGGTCGCGACCCCTGCCGTGCACATATCAATTGCCTGTCACTTTGCTTTCGCAGGTGTGCCATGGCACATATATGCAATGCTAGCTAGGTAGAATATGACGTTTGCACCACATCACTGCCGGCACGTGAGTACTCGCTTCTGCTTGGACTGTTACCACTGTGATTGCAGCTTTTGGGCTGGCTTTGAAGTTGCTGGCCTTGACATGGCCAATCCAAGCATGCAGCCAGAGCGGATGGTCCGCAACCTGCTCAAATGGCAGGCTCCGAAGGCGGGTTTACGCAGCATGGCGTAGTTTCACCACGTCATAGATCGAAGAAGATCGATGGGGCAGCGCATGAGTGCATCTGTGTCTATACTTATACTTCGTATCAAACTTGCTTGTGAAGGCCTTCATCCTGGCTGTGCTGTGCCTCCTGTTCAATGACCGGTTCAATACAGACCAGGCCGGACCTGCGTAAATCATGAGATTGACCGGTTACAAATAGGTTTGCTGAAAGTGTTTTCGGATTCCGCTGGTTTCAATGATGTTGTGCAGGTCTTTCCGTTCTTAGAGCATTATGCTGGCGAAGCAGTGATGAGCGATTCCGTCCGCGCCATGCACTCATGTCCTGTTGCTTCATTGGACATCAAGTATGCCCGATCTATGGACGTGACTACGCCGAGTGGCTTTGCGATCGGGGCCCAGCTGCTTTTGGTAGCAACACATCATACTATCTGAGGTACTAGATAGTGCAATAAACTCCGCTTTGTTTTCGTGCTCCGCCCAGGCTTCACCTCATATCCATCCTCAAGGGTGCCAAAGAAGGCTTTACGCTATGGCAGGCCATGCAATGTAGCACGTGGGTTTCGATTGCACGTGGGACGACCGCGCGGTCTTATTTGAATCCTCTGGGTGCCGAGTCTTTGGATTGCGTGGCTAAGGGGAACACAATGCTCAGCAGGACCTGTCTGTCAGCCTGTCCCAAAAAGCCTTTCAAACTTCAAGCTCAAACCATAACCTAGCAGTCACCAAGGGTCACTATCTAAGCTACAGATTTATCTGACCCCTATAAAACAACCCTACGTAGAAACCCTGCGTAGTAACTCCCCGCCACAAGCTTCCTGCGTGATCTGGCCTCGCAGGACGGTGCTGGCGTCCTTGCTCTGTGCTTCCCTGGGCGCAGTCTGGATTCTTGAGCAACCAGGAAGCTCCCTGGCCGCCCGTCATCCACGATTTCAGTGGCTTTGCAATGTGATGGAGGTTTCGACTTTTGACAAATATCACGCAGTGCTGCTTTGGTAAAACCGATTCAAGGGCACAGCTAAAGCCAGTGATCGCAGGTCTACATCGTCAAATTCTGGATGATGCACTACGGTAGCGCCACTCCAAAGAGAACAATCTGTTGGTCCAACTGCCGATTTATTTGCAGATTTCAGAGGGGCCGCCTCCTTCGTGCATTCAAAGAGCAGCAGGCAAAGCACAAAAGCAAGCCGATTCAGCCGGTCGTGAAGCGCAACATCAACAAGCAAGGCAAGCAATGCTTCACAGGGACTTCAAGCCTCAAAGAAACTCAGACCGGCCCTTAATTTTCAGTGAGCTGCGCAATAAGCAAGCATGCCAAGGCTAGCTAGCATATGCACAATTTAAATTGACTCTTTCCCAATCTTGTGTAGAATCGATCAAAGAAACCTCAAACCTCCAAATTGCGCAAGCTAAGGACCTACACCACCGATTTCGCGAATCGCATGTCAGAGCTGCTCTCAGACTTCAACACGGCTGGCCGCGCAGCTGCAAGAGCCTGTTGGGATGATGACGATGAAGTGATTACACGTCTCTGCAAGCTGGAGATGGGAGATGATGACTGGTCCGATGCGGGGCTTCCGCAACTTCTGAAGTATGTGTATGGGGCCAAGGGATTGCGAATTCCGCTAAAGTGGCAACCTTGCTTCCCTGCATCCCATTTCAATTGCCCCAATCTAGGCAGTCTTTAGTTGACCCTGCCATGTCGCGTTTTCTGCCAATTAGTCAATTGTTGCGCAGCCACGATCGTATGGAGAAAACAGTTTGTTGCGGGACTTATCATATGCAGACCTCCTGCTCTGTTAAACGTGGCCCAGCGTGATCATGACTGTCTAGTAGCACGGACAGACTGTAGAAGGATGCAGCAAGGGCCCGCCTCGGAGAAAGATTCCAGAGTCTTTGCTGGATGTCCTCCAATGTTTAACGTTATGTGCGGGTTTAAGCTAGGGCTCAGGTTTTGGGTTGGGTTTGGACTTTATGGGCCGGTCCCGAACGTGGGGAGTGCAGGGCTTCTAGGGTACGGGGCATGCATATAGGGCAAGGGTTGTCTAAAGATAAGCTGCCAGTGCTTCCAAAGGCGGAGGCTAGCTGGGCTGGGTTGGGCAAAATCAATCTTTCAGTATCCGCCGGATTGTCGCCGTCTAGATAAACTAAGTAAGCTTCTACATACCTGTATTCACTAGCTCTATCGTAAACCAATCGGATCCATCCCAGTGCTTCTTGTCTATTGAACTCATCGAACGTAGTTATTTGTCTGGTCTATACATAAAGATCGCAAGACCAGGATGGAAGACACTGTCGATACGCTCTAGAGACCCTAGATAACTCATTATATCATTAACTATACAGAACCCCGTCCACCCCACCAGTCGACCTGAACGACTCAACGTGTTAATTGGTCTAATGTCTCAAGCAAGCTTGCGGGAATCATGTAATATATACCTATAGCAAATCAAGCTACTGTACTCCACAACCGTTGTGGGATCTTGACAGCTGCACACCTTCATGGTAGCAATCCAGCCTTGTGCGGGTACAGGCTTCTGCTGGATGATCGGTTGAGGTGAGTTATGGTGTGTTCTAGCTTTTCTGCTGGTGTGCAAGCATAGCCCGGAATGCTTTAATTCAGCCCCATATTACCACATGTGCTTTGGCATGGTGTGAATGTAGCTACATCACGAAGACAATGCCACACGTGAGTAGAACCTTTCGATCGATCTTAAAGATGCTTCCTTGAACCCCACAAAGCCGCTTGCTTCGTCTGTGCGGGATAGGCTGGGGTGCGGGGTTGAACTGGGGGAGGTGGTTTCGGGGTTCCGTGGTGTGTGCTTTGTTTTTGTGGTTTCAGGGGTGCGGTGTTTCTAGGATTGGTGGAGATGGTAATGGGAATTTGCGAGGTTGTGGGTGTGCTATATCGCACGCTATATAGTGCGCATTCACTACAGTTCGGGGCAGCAGGGATTGCAATTCTTGAGTTTGAGAGGTTTGAGGTTGCCTGGCTTGGGATTGCAGGGCTTCTTGCTGCATGCTTGGTTTTAGCCACGCTGCCTGCTTGCGCTGCTTCCTTTGCGGGGTTGTGTCACAGCAGGGTTTGTATACACATGCATGAATTGCTTTCTGGTCATTGCGTTTTTTCTTTGCCTGGCGCAACAACTACAGGCTGGGTGCTTGCAGCGCTGTAAGCATTGGTTTAAGGCTTGTGTTGGGTGGCCTTCTAGGTTTGCGATGTTTGGTGGCTTCCCGGGCTTGGGTTGCAAGATTTGGGGTTGCAAGGTTTGTGTGTGCCTGCGTAGTTACATGGGCCTGGTTGCGGGACTTTGGGTTGCAAGGTTTGGCCTGCAAGGTTTCAGGATTCGAAGGGCTGTGTGTTGCAGCTTTTCTGTGCACTGTGGTTGGCTGCAGCTTTAGCACGATTTGCGCGGAATTGGCAAGCTCGTGTTCGCTGGGGCTGCAGGAGTTTGCGTGGTTTAGGGCTGCGGGGGGCTTGGATCGTATATGGTTGCGGGATTTGCTGTGTTGCGAGGTTTCGCGCAAGGTTGCGTGGTTTGCCTTTCCCGCGGGCATAGGTTTCAAGCTTGTGGTGTTCTGTGGCATGTAATCTCGCAGGTTTCTCTAGACTGGCTACTTTACGCGCGTTTGGCTTGCTGTTTTCGAGCGTTGCGTGCTTTTCGCGCGTTTCCTGTACCGTGTTTGCGCGATTCAGAAACACGCAAAGCCTCATGATACACAGTAGAGCCCCGATGTCACGGTTTTGCGCAATCTGGGATTTTGGAAACATCCGAAAACACCCGCGCAACAACCACAAAAAGGCGTGCAACACACAAAAAAGCGCGCGCCAACGACTGCTTTTAAAAATGCGCAATATTATGCCGTGCCGTGCCGTTTTGCGCAGGTGCAGCCCCGTTTCAGTGCGTAGGGCCTTTACGCTGAGGGTAGAGATATATCCTCCTATCGGCTTGGCAACCATGGCTTTGTCAAGAGATGTGCACTCTTCGGCGAGCTTGATGTCTGGCTTGTCACTTCTTCTACGCCAAGCCTCGAATGGCGACTTTGGCGAGCTGCAAGGTGTTGCTCAGGACAGGTGCAATAGAGTCCACAGAACAGCTACATGGTATGTATGTATCATGCATGCAACATCGTCTATGTGCGCTTTTGCTTGGCATTCTAACACATGAGTGCACGCATGCGTTCATGCACGAGTGGGTTTGTGATGTTTTTGCGTGCCCTCTGTAGCAGGCAACATGAAACACCTTAGTCAACAATAATCATATGCGCATGCACACAGACACACACACACACACCCACACGCACGTCTTTCGTGAGGCTAGCTTGATCGTTAGGTGCCAGCAGTTTGCGTAATATTCGGGTGCCCGAACTAAACACTTGAACGCAGGAGCTTCAGAAAGCCCTTGACCGTTCGAAAGCCGCGCCCGCAACCTCACCCGTGAAAGCCGAGCCTCTCGCTGCTCCTGGAACTGCTTTGGTTCCCGTACCTCGGTCATCGTATATGCCCGCGATAGTGCAATTCCGCTGCTATTAGCTTATCGTAAAGCCAAGCGAATACACCCTTTCTTGAGGTGAAGATGGAAGAACCGGAACAACCTGTGCCATCCACGCCGACACCTTCCACGATGCCTTCTACGCCTTCTCGCTCGCCTGACCCTGCAATGGCTGCATCTTGGTTTCAATCACACGCAGTGTTATAGCTTTGCGCTTTGCGAACTGAGCCATGTGGAACATCAGCCTCAATCCTAGTCTTAGGCCTGCTTCCCTTGCCTTGGCAGCAACCGACATTCCCGGTATGAAAAGCACCATATGTGTATACTTGACGTACACTCCAGGAGGCCCCATAAAGTATGCAAATCTTGCTCGGCACACAAGGGCTCGGTTGACATGCCTCTAGTTTGGCCCAAAAGTAACGTGACTCGTACCATCTGAACTAACCATCGAAATTTCGAGGGTCCGTATATGTACTTTATACAGCATCTACAAAGCAATCTGCAGCGTGCTTGTGAGTGGTACCCGAGTACCAAATGAGTACGAAGGATCCCATCTACAGAGTCAGTTTAACCAGACGAAAGAAGCATAGACTTGTTTTGCGTAAATTGAGCTCCCTCTAATGAACATATTTGCAATTAAGGCAATGGTGAAGCAAATGCAGCTCATGAAAGCGGTGATCTTGCAGCAGCAGCAAGCTCTGAATGTACGCAAGGCAGCAGAAGTCCCTGCGACTGAAGCCCCTGCGAGTGCCCCCATGGCTTCCTTGTCGAGTGCGCACAAGCCTGTTTCTTGCCAGCCCACGCTATCATCATATGAAATTTTCAACATGGATGCTCATCCCACACATCGACCGTAAAGTAATATATGTGCAGCTCCTAAGGCTCCCGAGCCCTCGCCGGCGAAGTCTACCCCTGGAAAAGCCCCGCCGAGCTCCAAGCCCGAAGCCGAGCCCGCCGTGGCCCCACGTGGGCAGAAGAGGAGCCGGTCGCCTCAGGAAGGCGATTCCACGGAGGACGAGTTTCCGAGGGTGTTGATTTCCTCTACGTTGGACCGCAACGAGAAGAACAAAGTCAGGAGGATTTGTACGCCCAAGCCTGGCACTGGAAATCTTGAGGTTCCGGAGAACATTTTTGAGATGTTTCAGGATGCTGCCAAGGGTCGTGAAACCCTCTACAAGATGTGGGCCAAAAGTGGGGGTGTCAAGGTGGGCCGGGTATCTTTATCCCCTGTAGTTTAGTTCCACCACACTAAATGAAACCCCGAACTCGAGGCCCTCCTACGCTGCTTTGGAATTCCACCTATACCCTCGTGCATCCATGTAGATGTACATTCTCGTAAAGAACCCAGGTACTGTGCTCACAAATAAACGAAACACGCATCTTGAATTCAGGCTGTCTTCATGGAGTCTGTCACTATTATGTGCCAGACTACCAGAAGGAAGAAACTTACCGTTAGGGGCGGCTTCTACTCGAAGGATGATATGCGAACGGTGCTGCTGTACTCGGCGACCCTTGTGAATGACATTAGCGCATGTGATTACCTCGTGCTGTATAATGTATATCCCTGAACCAACAGTTGTAAAAATTCTACCTTTATGATGGAAAACCAAAGTCAACCAAACCCCATGCAGCCCCATCGGTGTTGAGCTCAGGACTCGAATCGAGAAAATCGTGAAGTGGGCCGAGTCCAAAGGCCTCGTCCGGAAGCTTGGCAGAATATTCTTAGTCTCCGCTCTACCCACCAACCCCATAGCCATAATAAAAAAAACTAAACCCGAAAAACCACGATAAAGCCATTTTATGAGCCTTCAACATGTTTGCACCTCAACCCTATAACCCGCTTGTGCCCTAAACCCGAAACCTGTAATTGTGTCTAAGTTTCGAACTTTCATCGAATGATTGGTCCATGCTTGGGACCTACGGGAAGTGTCTGGATGATACACAAGCATGGCTTATAGCTGGGGTTGCAACCTTGGTGTGCCGTTAGGTTGCATAACTTACAAGACTCGGCTGAGCGTGCCTCCTAAGAAACGAGCACTTGTTGTATAGACTACTGCGCTTATACAAGTCTTGACTTTGTGTTAATTTTACGAGATCCTAGACACCACGTAATTACGATTATAAGTGAAGCGAATCTTCGGACGTCGTCCTATATATCTATATGGTTTTATCATACGTATGCATGGTAACTTATCGTTCCTTTTTACGAACCTCATTACGGGAGATCTCTGGTTTTCCATAGATTGGAGGCTCGATTCTTTGTAGGAACATATCGGCTTGAAGATGCAAGGGCTCCAATAGGAGGATCGTGCGTTTGCAGCAGTATATGGACGGCTTGGCTCCTGGTTGTGTGTCCTCCGATGTAGGAACTTTGTATTAATACGAAAGCTTTTCTACGATACCAAGTATCTGTGTATTTCTGCAGCCCAAAATCGTGATCCCCGTTTAACAGCCCAAAACTGCGCAAAGACCCCAATAGTTACATAAACCTGCGAGATTGCCGAGCAGCCACGCATCTGAGGGAGTGCGAATACGATCCAGATGTCCTCGAGTACTGGGTCAATATTCGAACTGAGGGTGAGCTTTCCAAAGAGGACATGGAGTCTTTGACACATACGAAGCAGTACGAGGGCGAGGGAGGAGATGAGCTCTGTTTCAAGCCCCGGGTTCGCATTGATGGCTTCGACTTGGCTGATGACGATGATCTCGCCCGTTGCGGGGCAGGGAACAAGGAAGGTGATCATCAGAAACCGGCCTCTTGGAATCGTCCACGAGTGGTAGAGATCCTTGCACCTGCCATGCGGTTCGGAGTCGAGTAAGCAATTCGTGCCCTCTCAGTATCCCTAGCCCTGGCCAGCTTAAGGTTTCAGCGGTGCTTACGGAGCATCTCGGGTACACGCTCAAAGCGAAGAACAGCCTTACAAGCTTTCTCGACAAGATGCGGTCGGCTGGGGCGGGCGACACCAACTGTGCTGGGACACTCGAACCCAAAACTTGCAAGTGTAATTCTGATGCCTCCACCATGTCGGCGTCGACGAATGCTTGAGCTTCGTATCTTCACCTCAGGCCAATCTCCAAGTTGGAAGGGCTGCAGAAGGAGTTTGAGGCTGTGTACGAAGAAATGGCGGATGCGCAGGCGGAGGGCAAAATCAATGGTTTCTCTGAAAAGCTACTCTGACCGAATTGCGTAAAAGTAGCCAGGCTTCAATGGTGAACCTCCCGAACAAAGTTCTATGCTTGCCAGCATCCTAGGTTGGCCGCCGAGTGCCACACGATGTTCAAGAAGGCTACGAAGCTGATCCTTGTCTTGCAATATGATTATAAGAGTTTGTCGTCGATCTCTGTCATGGAAATCTCTTCTGCTACAGATGCTGCTTGCGCACGAATGCTTCTTAGGGTGAGCAAAGCGGCGACTTTGGAAGCTTCGCATAAGCAACTGTGACTGCATTTGGCTGTAGGAAACTTTGAAGTCACGCGGGTCTTCTACGCGACCTAGGAAACCCCACTGCGCACTTTCACTCAGGCAGACGCTGAACAAGATGCGCAAGGCGGCGAAGAAGAAGACCGAGGAGGAAAAGTGATCTCGGCTCTGATTCGGGACGAAGCTGCAGGTTTGTTTTCTTTCCCAGCAGCTCAAGGATAGTCGCAGTTTATGCTACCAGGTAGCTTCTGCGTGCTTTTTGCATACTTGTGGCTCGATACTGAGCCCCTGTGTGCTGCCCTGTCTGATGAGGCTGTGCTAACTTCGAAGGTTCAGTGTTGGTTTCGTTGCTGAGATATTTGGCCGTGGCCGTAGTGAAACTCTCTAGGTAGGGTACGATCCAGCCACAGCAGGCCCATGGCACAGACAGGTTTTCGGTCTCACCCCCTAGCTAAAAGGCGCTAAGTCTGCGTAATTCGGGTTATCAGGCTGCTGCAGCAGATCGACAAAATCCATGATACCAGTGTAAGCCCGCCAAATCTAGATCGATGTATAGAATCCCACTTAAACCCTATGATCTCTGATGGATTATGGATCGATCTGAAGCCTGTGGTATGGGAACCGCTAAGGTCACGGATTCTGCTCGATCGTGAGCTCCAATGTCTTAGACTGTCCGTGAAGTCTGGCCGGGGATTGAGAACGTTTGCTTGTGCAGGTTTGTCGATGTAACATTTGACCTATGTGTATGCGGGTCGCGGGAAAGCCTAAACTGTCTACACCCTCTAGTGGAGTCGAAGAGCACCAACCCGGCCCTTCCGCATAGATTTAATAACCCTATGTTTCCGATCCTCTGCAACATAGGCCCTGCAGGAGCAAAGCTTACCAAGCTTTCGGTGTTCCAGAAATAGATCACCTAACTGAGCTTGGGCAACTAAATTCTGATCGTCATGAGGCCCGAAACAATCTAACAAGCATTTCGGTATACAAGACTGTGCGATATTGTCCACACCCATGGTATGTAGATAGCGATAGCGCAGTCTATGTAAAGATTACGCAGAAAGCTTCTGACCTCGCGCAGGTTCTGAAGATGACAACTACATCAGCGAGCAGGTCTACGACATCGTCAAAAAATACGGCAAAGGTGTCTGGGCCCTAGAAACCAGATGCTGATCCTGAAATCAAAGAGGAAGGTCGCAAGTTTACGGTACCTAGTGCTCTTGTTTGTGTGTTTGTGTGCGTGTGTGAATATGGTATGTCTGCGCTGAAGGCTCAGCTGCATCATAGATTCTTATGAAGCTGTGGGTTGTCATGATCGCAGTTAAATGATGCATGGGCATGTGGCCAGTCATTGCACATGCTACAGTATACGAGTTAGGTCGCTCGATGTATACTCCGCACGACTACTGCGCATCTCAGCATAGAATGCACTCAGTACGCGTGAATGTTTTCCCATGGAGCGATTCAGAGGAAAGTGCAGACCAGACCCCTCGACAGAGTCCAAATCCTGCAGTGACCGGGCTCCCGTGCGCAGCCACGAAGTCGCGCAAGGACCCGAGCGAAGAAGACCTGGATATGAGGGTTATTGGTGAGGCTAGCGCTGCTGGGAAAATCCTTCGGCGCTGCATCGATGTCGTCAGGAAAGTTCGGTACGAGAACGGTGGAGAGCAATTATGCGTTTTCAAGATAGGGCTCACTGCAAATCCTGTTCGACGAAGGGCAAGCTACCGTGACCAGAATTTCAGGAATTTCGTCATCATCCACCAAACCTGCCGCTCCGATCTTCTGGGTTTGATGGAAATGTTGGAAGCCGCTATCATTGCTGAGTTCTACGACGCTGGTTGCCGATGCCGCAACCGACAGCTCGGAGGGGAGAGTATGCGTGATCGAGACCAGAGGCCCCGCTTCGCTCCTCCATACTACGCCTACTGTGCAGCTACAAATGCTTCGCAAAGAGAGCCTATTCTGGGGTAGCTTCGATCGACTTTAGAGTGGGTACCTACAGTGTGTGCATGTTGGATGTGAAATGCTATATACACATAGTGCGAGGCAGAGGGCCCATTCTGCAGTTGAGATTACCTATGTGAGATGTATCTAGGGGCGGGGGTGCGGGGTGTGAAAGCACACTGCAAAGTCAGCGCAATGCCAGAGCTTCGTGCGTTGTGCAAAATGATCTTTGCTTGTGCAAGTCAGGTCTGCGAAGCTTGTGCACTGCTTCAAGCACGGTGAGCGGTCTTTGCACTCTTTTAGCTTTTGAAATCCCTTTGTCGGCCGAGGTCCCCGCGAAAGACCTCGTCCTGGATGCCAGGACCGCTGCGAAGACGGACTCCTGCCATGTATTAGCAAAAATCGCGAGTGTGAAAGAATCCAGTGCGGACGCTCCACTCTTCAAGATTCTTCGACAGTACGGGTTGGCACTGCCGGCACCTATCTCTGTAAAGAAGGTTGCGACCCTGGAAAATTATCCGTACTTGGACCCTGCATCTCTTCTTGAAGCGTTGAGTGGGAATGGCTACTTTCACAAAGTGCTTGGAGTGCCGGTCCACTCGGCTGAGTCATGTTTGCTGTCCTTTTGGGAGAAGTTTCGAGAGCTGCACCCCAACCACGGAATATTCTCGCAATACATTTCTCTTGGTAACCTGATCCCGTACTATCTTCATGGGGATGGTGGTCGTGGTTACAAAAAGGATCCGATCGAGATCTTATCAATGTTCCCTGCCCTTGGTGCGGGATCCAGATCGAACCCTGTAGATTTGAGCGGCAAACGAAAGTCTGATGACCTCACTCTGGGCATCAATCTCCGGGGGAACTCTGGCACAACAAGGTTCTTGTTCGCAGTTCTCAGCAGCCTTGTCTATAAGCGCCATCCAGATGCTTTCGATGCGCTTTTGGATTTGTGGGGCCAGAAGCTTCAAAACCTTTTGAGCGACGGGTTCCAGGCCATGGGGACTACGTGGTATGTTGCCATTATAGGATTCACTGGCGATTCTCCGTTCGTCAAAAAGGTTGGCAACATGAACAGGTCTTTTCATAATGTTCGTAAGCGAGCTTCGTCCAAGAATGCTAATCAGACTGGGTGTTGTTGGCTGTGTATGGCGGGAACTGAGACCGCAACCGAGAACTACCCCTTCGAACATGTCGGATTTTTCGAGCCAGGTTGGATACAGACACAAAGGCACAACAATCAAGTGCCCTGGGAAGACAACGGTGGCCCGCTGCTGCCCTACATGCAAGTGGATGCTGACGACACTCCGTCAGCTTGGTTCAAAGCCGACTTGTTTCATGTGTTTCATGCAGGCGTCGGACAAGACTTTACGGCCTCTGCAATCACGTACAGCATGCGGTTGTTATTCAATCGCGGTGGCTTCGAAAGAGACCTCGTAGCCTTGAATGAGCACCTGGCCACATTCATGAAATCCCAAAGAAAGCGCCTGCACTGCGGTTTTTTGACGAAGGACCTGCTAGGTTATAACTCCACTCGTGAGTTTCCTGAAGGCAAGTGGTCCAAGAACAGTGACACTGCCGTGGTGATGCAGTTTTTGGTGTTCTTTTTACAGCAGGAAGAGTTTGCGGCCCGTGTTCGAAGTGATCCAATCTTGAATGAAATCTTGGAGGCAGCTCTTGCGATGGGGCGAGTGATTCGCAAATGTTTCCGCGCCGACTTCTTCATGGCATCGGACGATTGCGTTGAAATCATCCAGTCACTCGGGATAAGTAGGATTTGTTTTTTATGGCTCAACCTGGTCCTCGTGTGGTAATAACTCTGTCGATCATTTGATTTACGGAGTTTGATCTGGTTTTGTATGTTTTGTTTCACCTTGGTTTTGGGCAATCGACATAAGAAGGAATGGCCATGCTTTCCTGTGCGGCTATTCCAATCTTTGTGGCATGTGCTACCGCAACGAGTTGTGCTTGTTCAAGAACAGGCCGAAATTGCACTATCTGAACCACATATTTCTGCGCATCTACAATGAGTGGACACTGGCTGGGACAGCCACCAATCCTGTCGCCGAAGCAACCTTCATGTCTGAAGATTTTGTGGGCCACACGGCCCGTATTTCGCGAAGGGTGGATCCCAGATCGATCGCCATCAAGGTGCTTCAGCGATATCTGTGTTGGATTCAAACCGTGTTGGACAAAGATACTCTGCTGAACCTCGACCTTTCCTGGCTCGACTAGCTAGGACCAGAGCAACTCGAAAGCAATGGCAGCATATTGTTTATCCGAAGGGCTGATCAAACAACAACAAGATCCTGAAAACATTCTTATTTCCCAGGTTCGCTCCTCGATCGGCTGTGAAGCCAGCTCGCGATGGCGTCAAAGCATTGGCATCAAGGGCTTCGGAGCTTTCAGTGGTGCTTTCGGGTTGATTTGGGCCCTTCCGAAGTCACCTTGAACTCGTCATAGCTCCTAAATAACGCCTGCACTCCCAATCCCACAACTTTGTGCCTTATCCTGTCAAAACCCAAACGCCCGAAATTTCAGGCAACGCCCGCAATTCTGAGGATTTCGGCTGCGGCTGTTTCTTTCTGGTCGTCAGGCTTCACAGGTATGTATATGTATTGATATATATATATATACATATACATATATATATGTATATATGTGCTATCACCAACCTCTACTAATGCCTAGTCAGCCTGGCAGGCTTTCCTGGGTGGGGCGCGTTATCGCAACGCAGTCTCCACCCATTTGCTAACACTAACCTCTACGGGGCGCGTTATCGCAACGCAGTCCCCACCCTTTCATTTTTTTTAGCGTGCGCTATCGCAGCGCATCGCTGGCAGTGAAGTTCGCGATGACGGCGTCCCCGTGCTTGCCTGCAGGGCCCTGAAAGATGCGAGGTTAAGGTTCAGGGCTACTCTGAATGTAAGGTTTAGGGTTGTGGGTTCAAGGGCCATAAGGACGCGAGGTTGCTGGGGTCTAGGGTGTGCAAGGTTTAGAGTTTAGGGTTTGTTCACGTATAGTGTTTAGGGTCAAGGAGCCTTCAGGTCCAAGATTTTACATTTGGGGGGGGTTCAGGGATCCCGAAATCGCAATGCCGACAACTAAACTTTAAAACCCAAGCCTCAACTCCAAACGCTCGAAATCCCTGCAACAAACAGATCCAAGAGATGATTACAGCCCTTCTTAGACCCTACAAAACCAACTCTCTAGGACCCTTCAGACAAATTCATGTGATATCACAGTATGATATGATATAACATGATATAATACGATGCAACATATGTATCCTCTACGACGGATGCATGCATGCACGTATGCACACCCGTGAATCCCAAAAGTCAGAGTTATAACTTATACTGCTAGAGGCTTCGTGCTCTTGCTGACATGCATCATGTGTGAGCAAAGATGCAGACGCAGCTCGAGAACGCAGGTTGCATTGTGTCACAGCTTTGTTTCTCGGAACAGTCTCTCGGATGGAAGCAGTCTAAGTTCACAGATGTCATAAGTTTTCGCAAAAAAAGACAAAACCTCCGAGACTCCGATTCTAGAATAATAGTCACAGGCGCAGAGACAAAAACATTCCAGTGGATTTCGAGAAAAAAAAAGAGTGCTCACAGATTTCTCGCAAAACATCAAATCGAAAATACTGTCTTTGTCACTGTTCAAAACCCATCCGGTACACATCTCCATGTGTCGAAACAAACTAGATGTATTTCTTTTTCCGAGTGTTTGCTAGCAATCCCTACCACAACAATGCACGGGGGAACGCTTCATTCTTTCATTCCCGGCTAACCAAAGGCAAGTTTTGTCACAGAAGAGGAGGCTGCGCGCCCTGCGGCAGAAGTCATTGACTGCCTGGCCCACATTGACCACGACGGGACACTTCTGCGGCTTTCCAGCCGTGAACTTTGGGAACGTATCCGGACAGCGTTCTCCTGTATCTGTCTCCAATCGGCAAGGCTGCAGGTGACGGCCGAATGTTGGCAGACCTTGTTGGAACATCCTGCCCAGACTGCGGACCCTGCCGCTCTGGAAATCCTGAGATCTGCGGCCAGATGGTTGTGCTCGGCCGACCTTGTGCATTGGCTAGTTCCTGCGCCTGAGGCTGGGAGCCCCACCACTGACACATACAAACACAGCGGCCTCTATCTCGAGCTCCTTGACTGTGCCACGCTGTGCTGGGCCCGCTCGCAGGATGTCACTGCGCAAACCGTCTGGGTCCAGGTCGGCCCACTCCCAGCCGACTTTGCAGACTTTACCAGTGCCGTCGCGTCTGGCCGCCACTTGCTCTATGAGCATGAAGATACGCTCCGGGAAATCCGAGCCAATCAAACAGTTGACTTTCTTGAGTTCGCGGAGCCCGAGTGTCACTACTGTCTGTCTGTCATTGGACTACCTACCGCCGAACCAGAGGGTCCTTCCACCGGCCCCAAGTCCCATGAGGCGCAGCTCCCTGGATTTGAGCTCTCCTGCCGCCTCATCCGGACCGCTGTTGGACATTGGGTTCGTGGCATTCCGTCTCGCCTCATCGTCCCGATGCCTCTTCCGACGATTGCCCACCCACTCGGACGGTTCTCTGGCCTTCTGCGACGCGAGTCGGCAGGCCTCGTATGCATGGGCAATTGGTAGTCAGTCCACTTCCCTGTCTCACCAAATTAACTGCAAGCCCAAAGGGCCGCGTCACTTCGACACTCAGCCCGAAAGAGCAGAAAGAGCAGAATATACACATAGACATATCCAGATTGTGTGATCAGTTTCTAGCGGATGAGATCATGGCGGAACTGCACGCTTTTCCGTGTTTCTGTTCTTGGCCATTGGTTGGTGTTTAGAGTGTAGGGTCTGTATTTATGCAAAGCTTGATCTTGTTCGTTGCTTCTGGCTGTTGCAAGACTACACGTAGGCCTCGACCCTAAATCCCTTGAGCCATAGAACCAAAGCCTCAAATCCAAAACCCCAAAACTTAAAGCCCTAAACTTTAGAAGCTGCCCCCACCCTGTAATAGTGGTATAATAGGAATATAATAGGCCCCTAATATAATCATATATAACCCTTATAGTCACCTAACCTAAACTCCAAGAGCCCTTAGACCCCAATCCCCCTAATCCCCTGAGCATCAGGCAGACGATTGCTTTGCTCCTGCACCTGAAAGCCCAAAGACAGCTGGAGCGGCCGATATTGATCGTAGCCCCCCTCAGCGTTCTGAGCCTGCGGCTGCAGTTGAAGCTTTATAGGAACAGTTCTCGGCATAGGGTGCTGCAGCATTTCGGCTGTCAGGGTTTGGCGTTTAGGGCGATGGGATGCAAGGGTTCGAGGGTTCAGGGCTCGGGGTTTCGCAGCACACATGGCATGGGGTTGCAGCTTTCATGTTTCATGATCGTGCGAAGATCGAAATAACCCAATTTCAACATTCCAACCCGCCCATTACAAGGGGCTCCGTGTCAAAAGCGACTATGGGGTTCTACGGTTGATGATGTAAATCCTGCATTACCTTTAAGGACCCTAAACTATGGGAATTATGTTATATTCCTTATCATGGGTAATGCAGGATTTATATCATCAACCGTATCATAGGCTTCCCCTTAGCGGCTCTGCGCCCAGTTGCGCTTGCTCTAAGTACGTGCGTTACAGCTGGAGCTCCCAAAATACCTATTGTTTTACCCGAAACCCTAAACCCTACACCCTAGTGTATTTTCGTACAAACATTTTGATGTATGTTAGAGTAGATATTAGTCTCTTGTTTTAGGGGCTAGCCCTACGATGCGAAACCTGGGCTTACGATTTAGGGTTTAGGGGTTCGGGGTTCAGGGCTACATGGGGGATTCAGAAACGATGACCTACTATTTTGTAGGGTTTGGGGCTACAGGAAGCGGATGATCCCTATAACCCAACTTCTAAACTAGTTACTTAGTCCACTGAGTCTTCAAGGGTAGGTTTCAGGGTGCTGAAAGCTGTCTTCGTTATTGCATCTGCAACCCAAGTAGAACCTCAGTAATAAGACTTGGAGCCTAGGATGGCGGTCACGTTTTGCGGTTTACGGTTCATTGAATATTGTGACGGTTTAGAACGAGGTACCCACAAAGCCCAAACTCTTAAATTAAGGAATATGCCTTGAATTATAATGGGCCTTATATTATGATTTAAGCTAGATTCCTTCATTCAGGGGTATTGGGCTCTCTGGGTAGGCAACTGTATGCATTGCCAAGGAACAACTGGGCTGCTGAGCTTGCAAAGTGGGCTCCATCGCTGAAGCTTGCACGCACTGGATTGTTCCCCTTCGAGTTCAGCATTTTTTGGGGAAGGGTTCATGTATGCATTTGTATCTTTCCAATATATATGTATATGTACATATTGCACTTGGGAAAGTTGCGACAAGGATCCTTGTTGTTCCGCTTAGGCATGGCTCTGCTGACATTGGATTCGTTTAATCTTCAGGTTCCGAAAGTTGGTAATGTTGGGGCATGTGCAGCTAGCAACGTAGCAAATGCCGGTACTGGAAGTTGACTGCTCTTTAGTTGTGATAGTAGCAGCAGGGAGCAGCCGCTGCATGTGGTGCTACCCGCACGGCCGTTGGTGCAGTTACTGCTACTGTTGTAACTGTTGCTGCTGCTGCTGCTGCTGCCGCTGCTGCTGCTGCTGCTGGTGCTAGTTGGAGTAGCGTGGTAGTCGTGGTAGCGGTGTTGGTTGTGGTGGTGGCGGCGGTGACGTCGCAGTCGTCGCGGTGGTGCTAGCAGCATTTGTCGCAATAGTAATCAGTGTTCAATTCCCTATCACCGTATCCCCCTAAGCCTAAACTCCAAACCCCAAAACCCCAAAACCCTAAAACCCTAAAACCCCTCAAACCTTAAACCCCGCAAAGACCCTGCACACATCTTCCCCGAAAGTTTTCCTAGGTAGCATGAGGGAGACCCCGTAAAAGGGACCCTTCTTAAGCCTACGCCTGGCTCTCTTGAAAGGGACCTCACTGAGGGGGTCTATATCCCCAAGGGTTCCCCTAATCCTAAACCTGAACCCACCCAGAGACTCCAATATCCCTTAATTGAGGAATATTCCGCAAATCATATGGGGGATCCTGCTATAATTATAGGTATATCCCTGAATTGAGGGATATGGAGGGCCGGTCCCCTAAACCCTAAACCTAAATCCTGAACTAATACTAGACCCTAAACTTAAGCCCAAAAGCCCCAAACCCCCAAACACCTGGAGGCTGGAGGGTGTAGATTTTAGGGTTTAGG